ATCACATGACAAGCAAATCAATGGTCAAGAAAAAATATAATTACAGATGGCAGGACACTGTTGAAAAGAAATGTGCATCGGACTCTTGATTGACATTAAACAAGTGTTAATTGCATTTTGGTTGTATAAACTGGTCTATCCAAGACAGCACTATTTCGTCATCGTGTTGTCGTAAATAGAGCAAAATCAGTTTTCAAATTCTGAAATGTTTGCCAAGTTTAAGACTTAAAATAAAGGTTTGTCAATTTCTCTGTATAAACTGTTTTTAGCTCCACTCATAAATTCAACAATTTACGTTGAAATATTCTACCTGAAAAAAAATTAAAAAAAGCAGGTGTGCTCATCTATTTTGTTAACCCTAACCCTAACCCTAACCCTACCCCTAAAATCAAAAACTTATGTATTATTAAATATTAAAGAAAAACATAGTCCTACCAATATTGCTGGCTTATATGATGATTAGTTTCTAAACAATCTCTCTCCTAATCTTTTTCTCTTTATTCAATTCATTGTAAGTAGACTTAAGAGACTGATATCGCCTACAAAACAGAGCATAACTATAACAAAAAAAAATAATGATCAAGATTTATTAAATTAAATGGGATTCTTCATTCAAGAAGGAATAGGAATAGCCTGATTTTTGTCAGATTAATTTTTTTATTGATGTGAGTTGTTTTGGTGGTGTCCGTTGATTACCGCTTCATAATGAATTTATGGGATGTTTACGTCGGTCATCTAATATCGCATTGCTTTTGTATATATTATCATATTTGCATTACTGCAAACAAAAAAAATAAGTAAATGTTAGAATGTTTTACTTCTATCACAGATGCGTTACTTTATTTACATGTTTACAGACAACCAACAGACAACCAACAATAACTCTCAATGACAAATATAATTCATTTGATAGTAATATAAAAAATGCATACATGATAATTGATACACACAATAGGCAAGAGAAATAAACAACACTTCTATACTTAGAAATAACATGTTATATTTACATTTTATTGCAACACCACAATCTATCGAGTAGTAAGAACCAAACCTATGACGTTAGAGTATTATGCGTGTAAAATGCATGTGATATAAAAATTAAACGTTTGTGATAAACGCGTGTCAGAAGCTTGATTTTACGGAACGTTGAATTCCGTTGAAATTGCCCCAGATGGGTATCCAAGTTAGCAAGTATCAACTATTTCTCTCGTAAAAGAAAAGAATTAATTATATTGATTACGAAATATGTAACACCACTGTTAATTGAAAATATGTGCAGGTTTTGTATGTAACCTTGTACTACAAATAGTGCCACATCATCAAGAGTCCAATACATTGTCAAATAAAAATACAAAAAAGATGAGCACACCTATTTTTTTTTATTTAGGTGTGCTCATCTTTTTTTAAAAATAGTGCCACATCATCAAGAGTCCAATACATTGTCAAATAAAAATACAAAAAAGATGAGCACACCTATTTTTTTTTATTTAGGTGTGCTCATCTTTTTTTAAAAATAGTGCCACATCATCAAGAGTCCAATACATTGTCAAATAAAAATACAAAAAAGATGAGCACACCTATTTTTTTTGTTTAGGTGTGCTCATCTTTTTTTAAAAATAGTGCCACATCATCAAGAGTCCAATACATTGTCAAATAAAAATACAAAAAAGATGAGCACACCTATTTTTTTTTTATTTAGGTGTGCTCATCTTTTTTTAAAAATAGTGCCACATCATCAAGAGTCCAATACATTGTCAAATAGAAATACAAAAAAGATGAGCACACCTATTTTTTTTTATTTAGGTGTGCTCATCTTTTTTTAAAAATAGTGCCACATCATCAAGAGTCCAATACATTGTCAAATAAAAATACAAAAAAGATGAGCACACCTATTTTTTTTTTATTTAGGTGTGCTCATCTTTTTTTAAAAATAGTGCCACATCATCAAGAGTCCAATACATTGTCAAATAAAAATACAAAAAAGATGAGCACACCTATTTTTTTTGTTTAGGTGTGCTCATCTTTTTTTAAAAATAGTGCCACATCATCAAGAGTCCAATACATTGTCAAATAAAAATACAAAAAAGATGAGCACACCTATTTTTTTTTAAATAGGTGTGCTCATCTTTTTTGTATTTTTATTTAAATGTCAGGTAGAAAACAAACACACCCAGACTTATTCACAACGTTCTAAATGTACAGTGTTTGGTCGACGCGGCACCCAGACTATTCACAACGTTCTAAATTGTACAGTGTTTGATCGACGCGGCACCCAGACTATTCACAACGTTCTAAATTGTACAGTGTTTGGTCGACGCGGCACCCAGACTATTCACAACGTTCTAAATGTACAGTGTTTGGTCGACGCGGCACCCAGACTATTCACAACGTTCTAAATTGTACAGTGTTTGATCGACGCGGCACCCAGACTATTCACAACGTTCTAAATGTACAGTGTTTGGTCGACGCGGCACCCAGACTATTCACAACGTTCTAAATTGTACAGTGTTTGATCGACGCGGCACCCAGACTATTCACAACGTTCTAAATGTACAGTGTTTGGTCGACGCGGCACCCAGACTATTCACAACGTTCTAAATGTACAGTGTTTGGTCGACGCGGCACCCAGACTATTCACAACGTTCTAATTTGTACAGTGTTTGATCGACGCGGCACCCAGACTATTCACAACGTTCTAAATGTACAGTGTTTGGTCGACGCGGCACCCAGACTATTCACAACGTTCTAAATTGTACAGTGTTTGATCGACGCGGCACCCAGACTATTCACAACGTTCTAAATGTACAGTGTTTGGTCGACGCGGCACCCAGACTATTCACAACGTTCTAAATTGTACAGTGTTTGATCGACGCGGCACCCAGACTATTCACAACGTTCTAAATGTACAGTGTTTGGTCGACGCGGCACCCAGACTATTCACAACGTTCTAAATGTACAGTGTTTGGTCGACGCGGCACCCAGACTATTCACAACGTTCTAAATTGTACAGTGTTTGATCGACGCGGCACCCAGACTATTCACAACGTTCTAAATGTACAGTGTTTGGTCGACGCGGCACCCAGACTATTCACAACGTTCTAAATTGTACAGTGTTTGATCGACGCGTTTATTTAATTATTACTGTTTTTTAATAGTAGAAATGTTAACGCATCGCTTAATCCGACTTACCTGTTGGTTTAGTTGAATACAGAGATTAGCATCAGATCAACTAAAAGGTAAAATCACAAAAATACTGAACTCCGAGGAAAATTCAATCGGAAAGTCCCTAATCACATGGCAAAATCAAATGACAAAACACATCAAACGAATGGACAGCAACTGTCATATTCCTGACTTGGTACAGGCATTTTCAAATGTAGAAAATTAAGTAAGTGGCTGTAAAGGGATTATATATTTGTGAAGGCAATGTAGCTAGGTCTGATCATCCATAAATAAAATTAGCATACGAGGAGATGCAATTGTTGTGTATAATTAGTATGTCCTGTTAACGTTATGAGTTAAGAATACTTAATGGTTTTTGCATTTTGTTTTCGTTCATATGCCAGGATTTTTTTTTATTATTTCCAATTATATGTTCCTATTAGACATTTATATGTAACTCATAACGCGTATTTAAACATCTCTGACATTTTCGTGTTTATGTATAAGTGTTCATAATAAAGGAAAATCTAGACAAGAGTTTAACACTCCTGAAAATAATAAAGTGTTATTATAAGACGATTATCTAACAAAGTCTGAATGACGTACATGCAAGAAAATCTATAAAAGGTAAAAAAAACACGTGACAAAGTGTGAAATAATTCAAAATTAATGGCTTGATTGAAGAAAAAACAATAAACCAAAAACAAATATGACTAATGACAAACACTGGCTGCTGAAGTTGGACAGACAATAATAACACAGGGTTACTTCGTGAGCGCTAAACTCTCCCTAATCTGGAAAAGTGGTGTAACAGTACAACAACAAAAACAGATTGTAAGGATCAGTTGAAAATGAGTAACCCCTCAGATTTACATCTTATTGTACTCACAGCACAGAAGATAAAAGAAATTCAAAGCAAATTAACTATTAAAGAAGTATGTTCCCCCGGATTAAGGTACAAACTTGTCAAAATAATCTTTTATATACTGGTATCTAACCAGTTATATTTATCATAGTTTATAAGGGATTACAATCCAGCAAAATCCAACCAAACAATTTTTAACAAACATGGCTAAATCCCGAAAACTATTATTCAAATGATACGTGGCAAATTTTCAATAACAGAAATTTGATAACAGGAACAATTTTAACTGAGTAACCACTGTACCAATATTGATAACATGTATGAAATAAATAAAATTGAGAATGGAAATGGGGAATGTGTCAAAGAGACAACAACCCGACCAAAGAGCAGAAAACAGCCGAATGCCATCAATGGGTCTTGAAAACTATTTGCAGCCTCAAGAAAAACTGCTGTCCAGATATGATAAGATCTGTCTTTAATTGAATTTTGAAACTGAAGTATCTGAATGAAATTGGAAAAAATAATTGTAAGATTATTCTAACCATGTTATCCCGCTTTGTACTTATTCTCTTCTGTCCTATACATTTGTTCATAATTATATTCAATTAACAATAATCAGAAGAATTGTAAAAAATTGAAAACAACACGTTTAATAATTTCATGCGTCCGAAGCTCTTTTCTGGATTTACCTTCATCAGGAACGCTCAAAGCCAAACATTTGAAATCCGAGGGATGTATAAGTACCGAAACAGTTGAAGAGCTATATGACAAAAATACCTAAAACAAATAGCCAAATCCATCTAAGGTCAACTTTGCCTGAGGGAGTTGACACCTTAGTTTCTTTATAATTTCAAAATTTATAAACGGGCAATTTTAGAAAAGTTTGTTATAAATCATGTCAGTACCGAAGTACTGACTACTGAGCTGATGATACCCTCAACATTGCATTTGATATACGGTTCAATATTGTATGAATATTTTTATTTGTATTGTCTGCTATGCAATTAATGGGCACTTGAATAAAGAAATGAATTGTCAATTTTATTTGAAATTCATCCAATAAAAGATATCACGTAAATATTGTTTTACAAAACAATTTGAAACGAACAAAGTTAATATGTTCCGTGTACATTATGAATTAAATACAGTTGGGTAAAAAGTAAAATAGCACTAATACCGAACTCCCAAAAAAAATTCAAATCGGAAAGTCCCTTATCAAATCTTTCAAAGCCTATTCTAATCATTCCATATCTTCTTTGCATGAATGTATTATAAATTGGATAAAATCATGTAAAAATGTGAATCACTTACAAAAGCAAACAAGAAAAAATATATTGTGAACAACTTAATAAAAATATCAATTTCAAAATTAAATAGTTAGGGAAAAACTATAGTATAAGGAATGAATATAATCTGGTACAATTCAAACGCATGGGTTTGAGTACAATTTCAAACGTCTAATAACAAATACAAAGTCCTGCATATTCATCCTTTCGAAATGTTTTCGGTTTTTCTCATTTTCTCATTCAGTGTTTGTTTATGATAGTTGTGTTATACAGAGGTGCCACTGAATTCTGATGTTCTTGCTTTTGGAGTTTTCGCATCTTTGTTTTTGTTTTGTTTGTGTTATATGCAGTATAATATCCATCAAACTTTCCGGCGATAATGGCAATCGGCATTGTAATGATGAGAACACCGGAAGTTGCGGTAATAACACCAGCGAAATAACCAATAGAAGATTTTGGAACATAATCTCCATACCCAACAGTAGTCATGGTAATTATGGACCACCATATTCCTATAAAACTATCAGGAAAGGTTTCGCTTTCTGAAAGTTCACTGTAGTAAATCAAATTCCCGAATAAAACTGCAAATATTGCAAACGTAACGGACAATAAAATTAGTTCTTTGATACTTTTTTGGAGGGTAATTAATAATATTCGAAGTTCTGTATACAGCTTAGTTAATCTAAACATACGAAGGATTTTTAACATCATAGTTACATTCGCGAAAATATATAGAGATCTGTAATGTTTGTATTTCATATAATCAACCGCTAGCGGAATAACACACCAAAACAATAATGTTACAAGAAATAACAAAACATCGATTTTATTGTTGTTGTCATTTAAAAACCGTTTCTTCTGTGGGCAAACAAGAAAATGGAGTAACAACTCTAATATAAAGAACCCGGTAGTGACAAAATCAATGTAATCTATGTAATCTAATGGTTTGGTTTCTATGAAGAGCTTCATCTTCCAAGTTAACCCGTCATCCTTCACGTGATGAACAACAGAATCATTACTTGTGTTATTGCCCGTTGTAGAGTTAGTCCGTGTAAGCTGGTTTCGGTTATTAGTTGAATGGTGTGGTGGTGGGGGCCTATCTACCCGGAATTTCGTATCTGTTACCATGCAGGACATCAATACAGATAAAACAACCATTATCATAAAGACGGCAAAAAATATCTGCAAAGAAACGCTAATTAGTTATTTGTGCAAGAGTCGTACATTCAATGTAATGGGTGGAGAGATGTGGAAGACAAATATTGTTGATGTTCTATATTTTCTTCAGATAGACATATCAACGGGTTTGTACTTACATGAACAACACTACAGGTACAGCATGTTGAGCAGAATCTGCCTACCGTTTCGGAGCACCTCACTCAGATTTTTGTGGGGTTCGTGTTACTCAGTCTGTAGTTTTCTATGTTGTATTTTTTTATACTTTTGTTTGTATGCTGGTCTTTCTTTTTCTTTTTTCTTTTTTGCCACGGCGTTATCAGTTTATTTTCGACCTTTGACTTTGAATATCCCTTTGGTATCTACACTTCTCTTTTGAGAAGAGACAGAATATACGAAAGAAATATTCAAACTCATAAGTCATTGACAAACTGACAACAATAACAACCAAATAACAGCAGTATCAAAACACAACATATAGAAATAAAGACTGAACCACACCAAAAAAAACCAGGGATTTCACATGCTCCCGATACAGATCGTGTTGATCGTGTATGTAAAGAAATGTATGACAAAATTTGATGACAACAAGTCCTTTGTGCGTTTTTTACAGTATTTAAATATTACGTTGATACATTTTTCTCAAAACATTTGAAATAAAGGCAATAGTAGTATAATGCTGTTCAATAGTCATAAATCATGAACCCCAAAAACTTGTTTAATAATTGAAAAAAAATATGTTTACCTGTGCAATTCGTGAGGAATTCGGTTGGTCTAAAACTAACCACAGCTGTTTTCCGAATGACTTGGAATTTGTAAGGCTATTGCCTATTTGTGTATAAGAATGACACGTAACCAAAGTCTGTTGTATTTCTACCTCATCTTCATGCTTGATATAAATATGGAAACAACAGTCCGCAATATTTACTACGGGTAAACCCCAAAAGTCAAATTCTTGTAATAGAACAGATCCACACGTGTAGTTGGGTATGTGCAATTGTTGTCTATCATATCTATAATAATCTAGTACTACGTTGAATAACTCAGGATTCCTGTCAAAGAAATATTCCTTACTGCTTGGTAAATAGTGTTCTGAAGCTGTTGTTAGACTTCCTAGTTTAGAATTGGGATATTTGATTAACTTTGACCTGTACGTTTTGAAAATAGATCCTCCAATATTCAATGTTATCAATTCATCTTCCATGTTGAATCAAATTACTACACGTTGATTGCATGCGAATGAGAGGATTTGTCGAATATTAGCTACGTTTCCTTTAAATTTGACGCTATAAGTTGTCACGGCTCACCATTTCGAATTTTTAAAATCAAATTGAATACACGAGCATCCTCGTGGTTAGACTATCATAGCGTGAAATAAAGCGGTTATAGAATCACTCTTTCATTATACATAATCATACTCAAACCTGAGAAATAAAACAAAATCAATTGTAGGTTCTAAATGCATTAATAAGTAATAAGTTAAATATCCACAGTGCGTCCTTCAAATTAAAGTATTCAACGGCCAATGGTTTATTTATTACCGATAAGTTCAATCCCTCAGATAAATAAACTCATCATAGATACCAGGATTGACATTTTGTATATGCGCCAGACGCGTGTTTCGTCTACAAAAGACTCATCAGTGACGCTCGAATCAGGAAAAGTTAAAAAGGCAGAGTGTCATTAAAATCAAATATCAATTTGTCAGTGGATACAATTTTTATTATCAGTATCACCATAGAAACACGTCTTGTAAACACTAAAATATGAAAACATGTTCAAACTTCATTTTGATAAACTGCATCGCATAAGCCTGACTATTATATTGATTTTAACATATTTTCAATTTCTTTTTGCAATTCAAAGTGTGCTGAGTCCAGTTTCGGACTGCTACAGCCTTTTGTCCATTGCCCAATATGTAGTTTACTAGTCACGATTTGCCGACACAAAAGAAAATTGTATTTTTTATTATTATTAGAAATAGTCAACTAAAGGTATTCAAGGTGCCTCAAAGTCACCGGGGGTTTACCAAAACTACAACATCTGGAAATTTTAACTAATCCCTGACAAACGCTGGAACATTTTAGAACAGGGGTTTGAGCTACAAATTGCTTGCTCACCTATCATGTTGTCATGCTATGCTTTACTCGGGTTATTAAAGTCCCGCGGCAGAAGTTGACCGCACATGTTTTTCGCCGTGTATTTAGGTTCCAATTTACTTGATAGCTGCTCTTTTATTTGTATCATGTTTGTACGGAAGCCATAAAGGGACACATAAAAAATAAAATGAATCCGTGTTATCGGTTTCCCAATCCGTTACCTTGGAATCCCAATCCATAACCTCGGATTGGTAATCCGTTATATCGGATTCCCAGTCCGTTATCTTGGATAATTATTCCGTTATCTCGGAGTCGCAATCCGATATCTCGGATTCCCAATCCGTGATATTGGATTAACCATCCGTTCTCTTGGTTTCAAAATCCGTGATCTCAATTAACAATCCGTTATCTCGGATTCAAAAGCCATGATCTCGGATTTATTATCTCAATCTGTTTTCTCGGATTCGCAATCCATTATCTCGGATTCCCAAATTATCAGTACAAATGAGTTTTATCTTTCCTGAAAAACATCTGTCCACATATCATTGAGTTATTGCCCCAGAAATATTGATTTTGTCTCACTTATCATTATGTCATATATATATATATATATATCATTAACTATATCTGATATATGGGTTCCTTGCAAGGTCTACATTTCAGACAGAATCCACCTGAACTCGACTTCATTTCTTGGATCAGTGATCAAGGTTAAATGTACGTGATAAGGTCCGTTTCTCAGATACTGTCTTTTTTCCTTGGCCTCATTGTTATGGTTCATTGCTCAATGTTAAGTTTTTGTGTTTTGGTCTTTTTTTGTATACTAGAATTAATAGTTCAACTATATTTGGTGTATTGAATGAACGTAAGGTGTACATGTCTGCCTGGCTTGGATTATCTGAATAAGAACTCATTTTCATGGATCATTGATCATTTTAAGTTTATGTGATACTTGTAGTAAAACTTAATGTTTAGGACTATCAACATTAAATCAATCATGAATAGTAAAGCAGGCGAGACATTTCAGTGCTGTAACTTTTTGGCATTTCTTTTTCGTTGTTTTAAAAACTATAGGAGCTAGGTGTAAAGTGTAAAAAGCAAAAAGTATAGGAGATAGGTGTAAAGTGTAAAAGGCAAAAATAATAGGAGCTAGGTGTAAAGTGTAAAAGGCAAAAACTATAGGAGCTAGGTGTAAAGTGTAAAAGGCAAAAACTATAGGAGCTAGGTGTAAAGTGTAAAAGGCAAAAACTATAGGAGAAAGGTGTAATGTGTAAAAGGCAAAAATAATAGGAGCTAGGTGTAAAGTGTAAAAGGCAAACACTATAGGAGATAGGTGTAAAGTGTAAAAGGCAAAAACTATAGGAGAAAGGTGTAATGTGTAAAAGGCAAACACTATAGGAGCTAGGTGTAAAGTGTAAAAGGCAAAAACTATAGGAGCTAGGTGTAAAGTGTAAAAGGCAAAAACTATAGGAGAAAGGTGTAATGTGTAAAAGGCAAAAACTATAGGAGCTAGGTGTAAAGTGTAAAAGGCAAACACGATAGGAGATAGGTGTAAAGTGTAAAAGGCAAAAACTATAGGAGATAGGTGTAAAAAGTAAAAGGCAAAAACTATCAGCATGACAAGGTGTATACACCTTAAAAATCAAAAATTAAAATGTTTTTGGGTTATTGCCACTGATATATTGATTTTTCCCCTTTTATGTTTCGCCAATAACGAAAGTCGCGGAAAGCGAGACAAATGTGTCATGCCGAATGTCAGTCAAACCCTTGCCGAAGTGGGGCATTCTTTTGGCTGTGTGGGATGTACAAATTCGAAGCCATGTCCGGTAGAATAAGAACGTTTCGGTCAATGCCTGGTGTAGTGAGAGTGCCATGTTCTCTGCATGTGATAGAACCCTTGCAACAACTTGTTGAGGGTCCGTAGGTGGCATGTTTCAAGTCAAAATTTCAGCCCCTATCCATTATACTGGAATTGCTATGTGGCAGTCTTAATTTCTCACCCTTTAATCAGGTCGACCTTTACCTTGCAGAATCTTTATGATGACAAAAATAAGAAGATGTGGTATGATTGCCACTGAGACAACTCTTCACAGGGGACCAAATGACACAGAAATTAACAACAATAGGTCACTGTACGGTCTTCAACAATGAGCAAAGCCAATACTGCATAGTCAGCTATAAAAGGTCCTGAAACTATAAATGTAAAAACATTTCAAACGAGAAAACTAACGGCCTAATTAATGAACAAAATAATGAACGAAAAACAAATATGTTACACAGCAACAAACGACAACCACTGAATTACAGGCTCCTGACTTGGGACGGGCACATACAGAATGTGGCGGGGTTAAACTCGTTTGGAGGCGCCAACCCTCCCCTAAACTTGGACAGTGGTGTAACAGTACATCATAAGAACAAACTTTAAAAATCAGTTGAAAAAGTCTTAACTCATGAGATTGATACAAATAGAATACATCTAACAAAAACACAGAGTTGACGTGGATGGTTACTTATATAGTTATAAGAAGATGTGGTATGAGTGCCAATGAGACAACTCTCCATCCAAGTCACAATTTGTAAAAGTAAACTATTATAGGTCAAAGTACGGTCTTCAACACGGAGCCTTGGCTCACACCAAACAGCAAGCTATAAAGGGCTCTAAAAATGACTAGTGTAAAACCATTCAAACAGGAAAACCAACGGTCTAATCTATATAAAAAAAGAGAAACGAGAAACACTTATGAACCACATCAACAAACGACAACCACTGAACATCCGGTTCCTGACTTAGGACAGGTGCAAACAAATGCAGCGGGTTTAAACGTTTTAATAGGTACCAACCTTCACCCTTACCTGAAACAATAGTGTAATATCACAACATAGAAAGACACACTATGGAATATCAATTGAAATGGCTTAACGTAATCAAAAGACATATTAACACAAACAAATGAATATACACTGAATGAATCAATTTGATCTATGACACAATGTAAATACAAAATCAATAAAATAAGGGGTGGTATGTTAAACAATTTCAAAAAAGCAACCATAACCTTGAACAAAATACCGCCAATTAGAATAATGTACACAGGTAAATGAAAATAATTTTGTACAGTAATGGAGAACGGAAATATTTTTTACAAAATGTTCATAGTTCGAGAACAGGAGTGAAAATTTATAGTCATACTAAACAATTATCAAATCTGGTATATATTTAGAATAGAGAGACGAGATATAACTTTAAATAAGTAAACATTAAATAACAAAAAAAACATTACAAATTGTATCTACAAGTCAAATTACCACGAAAGTACGATTTGAGAGTACTAGCAGTTACTGAAAGCTAGTTAAAAGCCAAACACAATTAATAATAAAAAATCATGCATCAGAGACTAAAATCAACTAAAACACATCCCAGGGATTTAGTATTTTAACGTAATGGACAGTCAAAGAAGACATGACTTGTGCAATGCCAGAAATAAAAGTATCGACAGGCAGAGGATAGTTAAAGAGTTAACCTCTATATAGAAAATGAACGTGAATGTGTATTTATTTATCCCGTTTGAAAAGAATACAAATTTAGTTATGTTTTAATTTGCTGATGACAAAATCGATATTTTTGCCAATGTAAACTATATTCAAAGATCTAATTACAACATTGGTAAGATAACATTTACTAATAAGTTTGTTTAAAGGTTCGATGAGTTTACACGGATCACGTAGTGATTTCTGCGCTTTAAGTACAATATTACCGTAAAATTAGGATGTGAAATCTTTGTATCTATGAAAGAATTTAGTAAAAGTTTTAAGTAATTTATGGTGACGAAATCCCTGACTTAATAATTAACCAGTGATGCATTGATTACGTTCGTTAAAATCTATGACATCACTTCACACACGGGAATAACGAACCAGTTGAGATATATAAACACCGAAATATGGAGCCAAAGGAACATCGCCGTCTAAAAAAGGAAAATTAACAATAGGAAATGAAAAACGTCTCTTTTGTCGTAAATTTTAGTATGGAGTTTCCCTTTAGAAATTGAAATGTCGAAATCTAGAAAAGGACAACTACTGCTGTTTCTGTTGGATTTAGTT